GAAAAATCAGATTTAAACAGTGTTAATACTTTTTCATGTATTGTTTACTTAGGGTCTTTGATATGCCCATTTCTGTGTTTATTTTATTAACGTGGTCAATGGTAAAATTATATGAATTTAATAACTGGTTAATTAAAGAGCTTGTCAGATGTAAAAATGGAAAATTTCTTCCTATCACAGTTAATTTAGCCCCTGTTTGGGCTCCATTAAAAACATATCTTGGAGAAAATGTATTTTAGAATAGTGATTTTTTGGAGAATGTGTGGTTAAAATAAGGAATTTTTGGGTTTACGTGTAATAATATTTTATTGGAGAATGTGTGGTTGAAAATAAGAAAGAGAATAATGCATTTTTGAAATAATGGAGCCCAAACAAGAGCTTAATTTAACAAGTAATGTTTTTGATGTTTTCTGAAAGTAAAAGTTTGTTTTGCAGATGAAATTTCTGATGATTTTTGGGCGTTATCTATACAGGGCTACTTATGATTACGAGAAGAAATTATACAGTGACCATCTTGAATCGCTTCAGGTGATGGAGAAGAACTATATGGCAATGTCTAGAGAGGTGGATAAACTTAGAGCAGAGTTAACTAATTCTGCAAACTTTGACCCGCGAACAGGTATTCAGCGTCGGTTTTGTTTTGCATTATTTGATCGGATTCTGATTATTTTAAAGATCAATTGTCAGAAATGATTTAAAAGTAAAATATTTTCGAACTTTGTGAAAAGAAGTTGATAATATTTATTTGTTTCTGCTAATAAAACATCGACTAAGTTGTAAAGCAATTACATAAGTTCTTTTTATTACTAGCTAAAAGCGTCTAAACCAACTGTGGATTTAGTTCTTTAATTTATTTCTGTCGTGCATGGAAAACATTTTTGTCTTGCAATCTTTTTACTTTGGGTAACTAATACGTCACAATGCAAATGGAGGTGGGCCATATGGTGGTTCTGCTGGATACAGTGGGGGTGGTGTTCCAATGGGGAACTATGCTACTGGACAAAATGCTTATCATGATGGCTATGGCTTATTACAGGTATATATCATCTGCTTGCTAATGTGAATTAGTTGCTTGCGATATCAACAAAGATTATTTTAAAACTTTGGTTCAAATATTTCCAGGTTGAACCCAAAAGTATTATGAATTTGAAAGCCTGCACATGCCCCACCCCACCCACCCACCCACCCCAAAAAAAAAAAAAAATACATGCACATCCTTTTTGCATTTTGGGCAGGATAAAATATGTTCACGAAGTAGCAAATTAGCTCATCCCGATGACTTCCCCAATATTAGTCATTGCGAGAAAATGTATTGAGGTGAAATTGATGAGCTACACGAAGCTAAGTTCAAGCATTTCGAGTTGGTTGCAAGAGTTATATTTTGTTGTTACTTATGATTAAGCAATTTTGCAATAGGTCAAATTGCGATCCTGTTCCCATTTCAGTATCTGCCAACTGCAGTGATTCTAAGGGGTGCTGTAGGTAACAAGAAAATGGCATTGCTGTAGCTGTCACTCTGGACACACAGAAATACTCTGGCTTGTTTTAGTTTAATTTTATGAACTGGTCTGGTCTCAGCATTCTGATATCTATGGATTCTAAGAATTAATGTTATCAAACTGCTAGTGCATTCCAAATTTTTTGAGTACTACACTTGCTTTCAAACCATGTAGAGTACATATACCACTTAGAATCTTTTTGATGCCGCAGGATGCGCTTTTCTTTTCATGAATTTAATGAGAATCATTTACTGATTCATAACATAAAACAGTAGTTTCATGACATTAGAAAAGAATTTCACATCGTCATGGTTGATTTGACTTCCAAGCATTGAGTTTCAAGAAGTGAAATTTTGTGTCACTTCTCAAGGACAGTGCCTGGTGAAGCCTAATTCTGTTTTCTTCTCTTCACAGCAGGGCCAAACCCCACTTCTAGGAGTGGCTAGTGGTGCTGGAGCTGCTGGCACTGGGAGTGGAGCACATGATTCTGGCGCTGGGGGTACTTCTCCTCATGTTGTAGCTCAATCTGCATCTGGTGGTTTGGGGGCTGCTTACGATGCATCAAAAAGGTCTGGTTATGATGTGCAAAGAGGGCCTGTTGGAGCAGGCTATGATGCACAGAGAGGACCTACTGGACCTGGCTATAATGCAGAGAGAGTACTAACTGGGCCTGGCTACGATGCACAGAAAGGACCAACTGCACCCGGTTACCAGCCACAGAGAGGACCAAGTGTACCCGGTTACCATCCGCAGAGAGGATTCATTGGTGCCCCAGCTTATGAAATGCAGAGAGCACCTAAGCAAGACACTCAGAAGGGACCAGGGTATGATGATAAAGCACCTGGTTATGCTGGTCAAAGACCGCCACCTACTTACGATTTTCGAAGAGATTCAGGAAATGACGTCCAAAGGGGATCTAACTATGATCTGCAGAAAGCTGCTGGCTACGATCCATCGTCTCAAGGCGCTGTTGGGCCCCAAGGACAGGTATCGATTGAAAATACACATCACGTGTCCGCACCACCACTGCCTACTCGCCCAGAGACACCTGCACGAGGTGGGAACCCTGTTCACAGATGAGTTCAGAACCTTCTCAACTTTAGTGTTTGAAATTTTTTCGTGGAATGCTTTGTGTAATTCAGCTCGCATTTTACTTGTCATTCTTCACCCGGTCCGATACATCTCCCTCGTGTTATATTTCTCTTTCATAAGGAGACGACTGTAGTGAAGCTCTGATACGAAAGTATACCCCAAGGTAGTTATTAACTTATTATGCAAGTCGAACACAGAGTGTGGATGATGAATGCAATTGTGCTTTGTTGAAATAGCCTAGCCCCCAACAAGTTGTATTTGTATTTTCTGAAAAATGCTGGGTAGGCAAAATTTAATTTATGTTCTTTGGAACTATTCAATAATGTTCTGTTGAAATCAAATTTGAGTCACCGAAGAGTGGTGGTATATTATGGGCCCGTTTGGCGTGGTTTTTATTTCTTGCTTTTGCTTCCTGTAAAAAAACTTTTGGAGAAAGTTACCTTAATTTTTGTTTGGAAACTCATTTTTAAAAGAGTTTTTCATTCAAAAAATGCTTTTAGAGGAAGTTATAATGGTTCAACTTCATATAAAAATACTTCTAATTAGAAGAAATTCTTTTATAAAATTAGTTGAACGGGTCCAAAAATAGCTTTTGGATCTCAAAAATTCCTTTCGAATTTTTGAAAACCATATCAAACGAGTCTTGTATGTTACATTAACATGAAAAATTTCTCATCCCCACTTGCTTATTATCCCTTTCTTCATTTTCCAAATTAGAAGCCTCTCTTTAGGGAATTCCTCATGAATCATCACCCCAAGGGAAAATATACTGACTTTCCTTCCAATCCATCCCTTCTATCTTGTCCTACTCCACCAATTTCCCTTCATATTTATGTTGAAAATCTTAGCTCGCTCTCTCAGGGTTTTGAAGTTTCCTCTTCCTTAGAGCAATCATCTTCTTCTTGGATAAGGCCATATTGTCAGCACAATTAGCTCGCCAATCAAGACTCCCTTACAAGGACAGCCACCTTGTACAAATTAATTGCACAATGACTATGTAAGTACTAAAACGCGTTTTCATTATCATTTAGATTAAATTTTTATTTTTCTTAACAATTCCATGATGTTAACTTCGTAGAATTAACTTATTTGCACACAATATTGATGTTGTCAAAATCTGAATCATTGATTTTAAAAATAGTTTTCAAATGAATGGATGTGATGTTAATCAAGATGGTAAAAAGAAATTGTACAAGTAGTGTCATAAATATGATGAACATGTAACATGATTGATAAAAGAAAAACATTACTCGTACATAATTTAGGTTACCTAAGGGTGTCCACCCTCTCACATAGGGTGGACCCCACGTGAATAAAAAAAAATTATTCATGTGGGGTCCGCCCCTTGTAAGAGGGTGGATACATTTAGGTAACCCAAATTATGTACATGTAGCATATCTCTTGATAAAATAATATTACACGCAAGGGTTAAACTACTTGTACAGTGTACACCTTGATTGACATCTTATGCATCAAAAGTTTGGCAGTTAATTGAAAATTGTGTTCTCAAGATCAATGTATCAAACTCTGTCAATTCACGTGAGTGTAAATCAATGTGTCAACTTTTATGTATATGTAATATGGTCCTTACAAACAAACTCAATTTTTTTTCTTATTTTTTAATCACATATTCTCCATCAAAATACATTTTGGAGAAAAATTGACGTTCAAACATGCTTATAATGTTAATTTTCTAATCAATTTAAATTTTACTTTTCGGAAAAAAAAAAAGGGTACTCTGTCACTTGAAGATCACCGCTGTCGCACAAGATATAATCTTTAAGTGAATTTGTCGAGAGACTTATTCTTTTTGAGAAATGATGGGACTATTCTCTTTACCATTTTCAAGCTATTTTTTATTTTTAATTTTTCAAAACAGTGAAAACGCGTTTTCTTTCCTATTTTCGAAAACGCGTTTTTGAAAACAAATTTAAAATTTACAAAGAAAACCCAAAACAAAATCAAAATTTTCAAAACGCGTTTTGGATATTTTCAAAATAATTTTTCAAAATGCCAAAAAGAACGCATTTTCAAAAGTCTCAAAATAAAAAACTCAAAATGAATTCAAAACTCAAAACACAAAACTGAAATACAAAGAGAACACCCCTTTAAAACTTTCTTGATTAGAAAAGACAAGAATATTTGTGTTTAGAAATAGTAAATTTCAATTATCTGTTATGACGTATATTACTAATTAGTACAGGATTAAGCAACTCTTCGAACAGAGTTATTTTGACGTTATAAACAAGAAATATGGCCCTCTTTTTTAAAAAAAAAAATCTGATAACTTCTTTAATTCATTGACCTTTTCATTTACTCGACAGGTACGAAAATATGACCTAATTGCATCATTGGTCCACAAAACCTTGTATGATTTCCAATTTGGCCCATAAATTCCCAAATAAAACCATGGCGAAGAAACTCATTCGAAGAGTCAAAACCATTATCACAAAGCCCTTCAAGAAACAGCCGCGTAAAAAGCTGCCACCACCACCACCGTCTCCGCCGCCGCCGCCTTCTTCCCCCTCTCCACCGGAATCTCCCGCCCCCACCATGTCACCGCCACGACTAAAACCGTCCTACCACCCTTTTCTCTTCCCGGAAACTGAGTCCACAGTCCTGCCCGATCCTTCATTATTCTTCTCCCCCCACCTCCTCTCCAATCCTTTACCCACAAATTCATTTTTTCAAAACTTTGTGTTGAAAAATGGTGATCAGCCTGAATATATACACCCATATTTAATCAAATCATCTCAGTCTTCTCTTACCCTTTGTTACCCATCTCAATTCAAGAATCCTGCTTTTTTATACCAGATATTTATTGCTGATCTCACCATTTCTGCACTGAACAATCCTGATTCGAATGCAACCCACATCATATCTGCATTCAATGATTTGAGTGTGACTTTGGACCTTCCATCTAGTAATCTTAGGTTCTTTCTTGTTAGGGGGAGTCCCTTTTTGACTTGTAATGTGTTGAGTCGCGTTGCATTGTCAATTTCAACCATTCATGCCATTCTTGAATTGTCCCCAAATAGTTCTTCCACAAAGTACACTATTAAGCTTAATAACAATCAGACTTGGCTTCTTTATGCTTCTTCTCCGATATATTTGAGTCATGATGTTTCTACTATTACTTCTAGTGAGTTTTCGGGGATAATTAGAATTTCTTTATTGTCTGATCCAAAATTTGAAGCGCTTCTTGATCGTTTTAGTTCTTGTTATCCAATTAGTGGTGATGCTGTTTTCACTAAGCCTTTTAGTTTGGAGTATAAATGGGATAAGAGAGGATGGGGGGATTTATTAATGCTTGCCAATCCTTTACATCTTCAGCTCCTTTCGAGTACTGACTGTTCGATTACCATCTTAGAGGATTTCAAGTACAATAGTATTGATGGTGAGCTGGTTGGTGTAGTTGGAGATTCTTGGGTTTTGAAAAGTGACCCTATTGCTGTTACTTGGCATTCAATTAGAGGGATTAAGGAGGAATCATATTCTGAGATAATTGAAGCACTCATTAAGGATGTTGAGGCCTTGAATTCAAGTGCAGTATCAACAACATCATCGTACTTTTACGGGAAACTGATAGCTAGAGCTGCACGGTTTGCATTGATTGCTGAAGAGTTGTGTTATATTGAAGTGATCCCTGCAATTAGGAAGTTCTTGAAGGATATGATTGAGCCCTGGATGGATGGAACTTTTGATGCTAATGGTTTTTTGTATGACTCAAAATGGGGTGGAATCGTGACTAAACAAGGATCAGCGGATTCGGGGGCTGATTTTGGATTTGGAATCTATAATGATCACCACTATCACCTTGGGTATTTTATCTATGGGATTGCTGTTCTTGCCAAGATCGATGCTGCATGGGGAAGTAAGTACAAGACACAAGCTTATTCTCTTATGGCCGACTTTATGAACTTGAGCAGGCGAGCAAACTCAAATTATCCCCGTTTGAGGTGCTTTGACTTGTGGAAATTGCATTCTTGGGCAGGAGGGCTGACAGAGTTTGCAGATGGTCGAAATCAGGAGAGCACAAGTGAGGCCGTTAATGGATATTATTCAGCGGCTCTTATGGGACTGGCATATGGGGACAGCCACCTTGTTTCTATTGGATCTGCTTTATCTGCTTTGGAAATTCATGCAGCACAAACTTGGTGGCACGTGAGAGAGGAGGACAATGTTTATGGAGAGGAATTTACCAAAGAGAACAGGGTGGTGGGTGTTTTATGGGCTAACAAAAGGGACAGTGGCCTTTGGTTTGCTCCGGCCGACTGGAGGGAGTGTAGGCTGGGAATTCAACTTCTGCCTATACTGCCCATAAGTGAAATTCTGTTCTCTGATGTCAATTTTGTGAGACAGCTCGTATCATGGACCTTGCCAGCCCTGGCCCGGGAAGGAGTTGGAGAAGGTTGGAAGGGTTTCGTATATGCATTGCAAGGGATTTACGATAAAGAAGGTGCTTTAGATAATATCAGGAGCTTAAATGGATATGATGATGGGAACTCCCTCACAAATCTTTTGTGGTGGATTCATAGTCGAGATGATGAAAAAGAGAAACGAGAGGAACTTTGTTGGTTTCGCCACTATTATCACTGAACTCGTCTTAATAAGAGTGAATAAAAGGGATAAATATCAAACCAGCTTCAAAGGTCAGAAATATCTCTATGTATCGGGTATCCCTAGCATTTCTTCTTCATTGTATCCAATGTTTATTTGACTTCCTATGTTGGAATAATTTGTTTAAGAACAAGTACCGCTTTGTTTGCTAAGAATTGAATTCTGAAATAATAGATGCCTGTAAATATGTGCACTTATGTTGGATCTGCTTCACAACTGCTTTTCCCATTATATCTTCTATATATTAAAAGTGGATATGAAACGGAATTTCTTATTTTTAACGGAAAAACTAACGGAATTTGTTGTTTTAACGGACTATGTAACGGAATTTTTTGTTTTAAACAGGCAGCTGCACCTTTTTTCAGTGTTTTTATCGTAACTTTGTATTCCGATGTCCGATTGAGGCAATTAAAAATGCGAAATTTAACTCATTTGGTTACAACTTTGGTTCAGACATCATTCTCCAATTCGACCACTTTATATGTCAAAAATAGGTCTCAATATAACGGACTATGTAACGGAATTTCTTGTTTTAAACAGGCAGCTGCACCTTCTTTCAGTGTTTTTATCATAACTTTGTATTCCGATATCCTATTGAGACGAT